CAGTCCCACCTAGCAACCATCAAAACGCTATCCATATCTATGATTCTGTCTCTGTTCTTCCTGTTTGTTTAGTTTGTTTTTTAGGTTTAATTTTTGACAAGTATGCATCTATTGCCATTTTATTGTTCATAGTATGATCTTCTTTTTCTTAAATCAGCCCCTTTTTAAAAAATTTTTACTTTATTTTAATCATTGTTCAAGTACAGAAATAAGCCCCTTTAACATTTCATATAATAATGGTTTGGTGATAATGAACCCCTTTAGTTTTTCCTTGTCTGGGAAGCTCTTTATCTGCCCTTTGATTCTAAATGATAGCTCTGCTGGGTAGAGCAATCTTGGCTGTAGGACCCTGCTTTTCATGACTTTGAATATTTCCTGCCAATCCATTCTAACCTGCAAAGTTTCTTTTGAGAAGTCAGCTGACAGTCTTATGGGAACTCCCCTGTAGGTAACTAACTGCTTTTCTCTTGCTGCTTTTAAGATTCTCTCTTTATCTTTAACCTTTGGTGTTTTAATTATGATGTGTCTTGGAGTGGGCCTCTTTGCACCCATCTTGTTTGGGACTCTTTGTGCTTCCTGGGCTTGCATGTCTATTTCCTTTGCCAAACTGGAGAAGTTTTCTTTCATTATTTTTTCAAATAGACTTCCAATTTCTTGCTCTTTCACTTCTCCTTCTGGCACCCCATCCTGTGAATACTGGGCTTTGGAAGTTGTCCCAGAGGCTGCTTATACTATCCTCATTTGTTTGTTTGGGTTTTTTTTTTTTTTGGATTCTTTTTTCTTCTTGTTGCTCTGATTGATTGTTTTTTTGCTTCCTTGTGTTCCAAATCATTGATTTGATTCTCAGCTTCATCCACTCTACTCTTGTTGCCCTGTAAATTGCTCTTTATTTCATTTATCATATCCTTAATTTTTGACTGGATCTTTTTTATGCTGTTGAGATCCTCACTAAGTTCCCTGAGCATCCTTATAACCAGAGTTTGGAACTCTACACCTGATAGATTGATTATCTCCATTTTGTTTAGTTCTTTCTCTGGAGGTTTGATCTGTTTTTCCACATGGGCCATGTTTCTTTGTCTCTTCATTTTTGCAGCCTCCCTGTGTTTGCTTCTATGTATTAGGTAGAGCTGCTATGACTCCCTGTCTTGATATCCTGGCCTAATGCAGTAGGTGTCCTGTAGTGTCCAGTGGCACAGCCTCCCCTATCACCCAAGCTAGGTACTTGAGGTATACCCTTCATGTGGGCCAAGTACACCCTCCTCTTGTTGTTGAGCCTTGGTTGTTGTTGGCAGGTCAGTGGGAGGGATTTACCCAGGCCAGTCAGCTGAAAGGATTGGCTGTGACCACTGACCACCAACCTCTGCCCTCTGTCATTCATCTCATTTTTACATTGCTTCACCCTCCCACCCCACATTGGGAAGCATTAGTTTACTTTTAATATCTGAAAATCATTTTATTTCTTCATTTCTTCCTTTTCCCTAATTGCCCTGAGCTCTGCACCATTACACCAAGATTAGACAAATTCTTACTCTTCTGAGCTTGTGCTCTTATTTTGGTAATTTCTTTATTATTCACTTATGTTAATAATTCATGTTAACAGAGTTACTTATAATAGCACACTTGCGCTAATTCTACTACATGGATACTTAAGCCGTTGTATTGAGATTTTGGTCAACTAAAATTCATAATGAACCATTAAGTTGATTAAATATCATTATTGCACAAATTATTAGCAACATTAATAGAAAAATTATACATATAAAACAATAGTTACCCTATGTTGGCAGACTGATAACAGAATTCCTTAGAAAACAAAAATAAAATAATTTCTAATTTTAAAAAAACGAGTGAGTGTACAGAAATGGAGATCACATGGAGGGGTTTAACATCAGGGGAGTGGGAGGAGGAGAGAGGGGGAAAAGGTGCAGAGAATAAGTAGCATAGACGGTAGGGAGACAATAGAGGGAGGGCAAGAATAGTATGGGAAATATAGAAACTAAAGAACTTATGATGCATGGACATGAACTAAAGGGGGGGATGTGGGTGGGAGGGGGAGGGCAGGGTGGAGGGGAATGGAAGGAGGGAAATGGGACAATATAATAGCATAATTGATAAAATATATTAAAAAACAATGAGTATATTTAATAAATAACTGGATGAGTAATTTTTACCAGCTATTATATTAATCCTTATTAAATACCACTTTATTCTTTTGGGCAAATATTCTAACTTTTCTCATGATATGAGATGATTATGACATACAATATATCCTTCTTAAGCCTGTGTCATTCGTAAATTCTCTACTTTTGTTGAAGTTATTAATATAGTAACCACCTCCCTCCAAATTGAACCCATGTATTTTCAGTGCTGTTGCCTAGAATCATCTATCTTACTAGGTTTACATTTCTTCACCTTGTTCATAAGAACTTTAAAAGCTTTTCATCAGACATTTTACTAATTTAGGGTGACTATGTCTGTAAAATTTTCCTGATCCTCTAGTAGAAAAGCCTTAAAAAGCTAGTTAGATTCATTTGTAGCTTGACCTTCTTCATAATTTTACTTTTTACAAATAGAAACTTTATCCATGTGTATTTATGACTACTTGTTCAGGAATTATTTTCATGGGCTAGTGGAGGCTGTGAAAGTGTTTAATTTGGATTGAATTTGAGACTAAATGACAATAGTACTAATAGCATAATACATATTCCTTAAATCTTTCATTTTATGAGAAGCAGATTTAAGAGTAAGGCCAGTATATGTGGTTGAGTTTATATAGTTACAACTCAGGGAATATCTTTGACATAATGGAGTAAAAGAAGAGTTTAAATGAGGATTTAAAGTCTTACAGAGGCTGTTTAAAATAGCAGACCCAACCCACTTCTGTCTGAAGTCAGAGCCTGTGATGGTAATGACTGTATTAACTGCTGCTGTCTTTGGAGAGAGATGATTAAACTTCTGACTTCTTTAATCTCGAAACACTTGAGTCAGTTAATCAAAAAATACCTTTGATGAGTAAATGAATCCAGTCTTTCTACCCCATCCACTTGATCTTTAATGTTACTTCATTTTTACAGTATTTTTTTCTATATGGGAAGGGCTGAGATATAGTAAGTTCTATATTTAGTTACTTTCCAATGTATTATTATTAACATTGCTTTTGTACCTCTAATGTAGACTTGATCTATACCCTTCTTTGGGAAAAGTAGAGTGTTTCAGTCAACAAGGGTTTGTTTTGATTTATTTATTTTAATTAATAGAGAAGTACAGAAATAGTCCCAACCAGTGAAACACTGTTCGTCTAGATGGAGCTATTAATAGGATAAATTTTTTTACCTTAATAAATGTATTCTATTTACATCAAAGTTAATCTTTATTTTCAAATTTCCCTTTTGTTTGGAAAGAAAGTGACTTGAGTGTATTTCTCTTTTATATATAAGAACTCTTGTTTTCAACATGGATTGAGAAAAATAATTGTGTTAAAATCAGTATTTGATGACATGGCATTTCTGTTTTAATTAGGTTCTCCCGATAGTTTTTGAAATATGGAAGTAATTTACTTAAGGCTTTTAGCAACATTTTAATAAGCTGAAAATTTTCAGCCCGGGCATATTATATAATCAGACATGTCAAATTTGCCAAATGCTTTGAAGATACAAATTTTAAGTATTATGTAATAGGGTTTTTAAAAAAAAACTTTTATGTTGATTCTTTACTAACAATGAAGATTATTTAATAGTACAACTTATAATTCTAGCTTTCGTTCACAACTTCTTCTTTATCCCTATCCACATCAAAGTTAATATATATACTTTTAAAAATTTAATATTTATTACATTTTTTCCAATACCATGTAGTCCCCTTATACCCTCCTTCCCCACCCCCCCAACAGTACCACACAATATACCTACTTTAATGGTTAACTTGGAGGATCAAAGTATTTATGAATTCAATAATCAGTTAACACAAAGTATTGTTTTTTACCAAGACTAAAGTGTCTTATATAGCTACCTATGTTATTTTAATCACTCATACAAATAATTAATAATCTACTTGTGCTCATATATTGTTGGAATGTTGGGTTTCTTGGAATATTAGTCAAGTCCCTTAAACTCTGTGCCATGGTTCTTTGGAAACTGGGCATGCGATTCTAATTGGTCTTTTGAAGTTCTTCCAATATTGATTCTACTATCTTTAGAGAATATGTTGAGAATTATGTCTGTCCAAAAACCATATAATAATAACTATAACAGAATTTTTAAACAGTAGATATAAATTTAGTTTTATGGATAATTAGTGTATTTTAAAATACATTAAAAATATATCATATTCTTAAATCTGGAATGCAAAAGTAATCATAATCTAATATAGGCAATAGCATTCTCTGACTTAAGAGTATTCTATATTTGCACCTTTCTAGAGTTAGAGATTTGTCAGAGTAAGAAGTATGTCCTTGAGCCATGACATTCATTTTTTAGCTTCATTAGGAGGGAAAAATGCATTATGATAGCAAATTAAAATATTTGCTAAAAGATGCTTTGTAAAATAGCAGGACTAATGGTCTACTTCAAGAAGGTAGTTTAAAGCTGATATATTATCTAATATAGTTATCTCAATATGTGAAATATGCTAAGTTACACTCATTATTATACAGGCAAATGTTGGCACATCTTAGGTTATTTGCCATTCTCTTATTCTGTCTAGTTTTATACAGTTTTAAAATTTAGTAACTTTCTCTGGAGATCATTTTAAACATAAAGGGTAAAACCCAGAAGAAAGCAGGGGGCAGAACTAATGGAAAATTTATTCTTCTGTTCAATAATATTATATGATAAAATAAAAAATATTTGCTAGCAATTTTTACAGCAGTAATTTTATGGAGTCTTTGTGTGTGTGTGAGTAATATAGTTCCCCTTGTGAGTGAAAAAGATGTACTTGTGCTCATATATTAAGTTATTGACTTACACTCTTATCACAATTTTTTCTCTTCCCTTCATCCACAGAATCTGTATATGATCTTCTCCCAAAGGAGTTACAGTTACCGCCATCTAGAGAAACATCTGTAGCATCAATGAGTCAGACAAGTGGTGGTGAGGCAGGCTCGCCTCCTCCAGCTGTAGTTGCTGCTGGTATGCATTTCATTTTACTTTATAAAGAAAACTAGGGTATTATCTGGCCAACATGAACAGTGCTGGTAAAGTTTATATCAAAAAGAGTGTGATTTGAGGCTTTGTTTTAGGTTTAATTTTTTAAAAGATACTTATTTATTTATTTTTAGAGAGGTGACATCAGTTGCCTCTCATACACCCCCAACTGGGAACCTGGCCTACAACCCAGGCATGTGCCCTGACTGGGAATTGAACCAGTGACCTTTAGGTTTACAGTCCGGTGCTCAGTCCACTGAGCCAAACCAGCCAGGTTGGAGGTTTTAAAATACAAACTTTTAAAACTTAAAAAATTCAATATAATTTTGTTGATACAATGATTATTTCTTAAAATTTCACATTGGCACATCTACTAATACCATGTCCTAAAATGTACCTTATTTTCAACTGTGGGAATGAGTTAAAGGTCTTCTGTTGGCTGCACATGAGAAGGTTAAATACCAAGCCATGGGTAGAAAATTGTATTTGTTAAATTATATTTAACAATTATTTTTAAAATTGGTTTAAAAAAGAAACAATATTTTACTTTGTATAATCTGGAAAAGGACTCATTCACTGAAGTCTCTTTTTTGTTTGTAGCATGTTTCTATAACCTTTTCCCTACTTTAAAAACTAATGTGACTTAATACTTATTGTAAACTCAGTTGAAAGTAATGGAAGATTTAAATGTAATATTTATATGACATTTTTATATCAAAAGTATGGAATTAACGTTTGAAATTTATTAAGCTTATTTTTACTCAGCTCTCAAATCATACACTTTATATAATTATAATTATGTAAAACTGTTTCAAATTTTGATTGAATTAGAATGAAAGATTGACAGACTAATAGAAAAAAGTCTTGATTGGTAATAAATTATAAGAATGCTTTCAAAAATACTACATTGCCCAACTGTGTTTTTCTTTTGGTTGGGTTTATAGACTGCTAAGTGTTTGGTTAAAAAAGAGGAAAAAATGATATACTCTGAAGTTTTATGTGTCCTAGTAATTAGAGGTTTCTTGTCTAATATGATACCTCTCATCTTTTCAAATGGTACTGAGACCATCAAAACATTGTTTTCAGTACATTCTTTTTGTTTCAAAAGAACAGTGAAGTGGAAGGTTTTGATTTAAATGAGGATATTGGTACTATAGTACAATTTCAGATATTTTTCTTATATATGTTTACCTATGGACCATTAACTTTGTGTACCAATCTTCCCCTGAGCTGTATATTGCAGTTTGCTGCCTTCCTAGTTGAGGGCAGGAAAATTTTAAACATGGCAAAGAAACTTATCAGCCCTGCTCACTGTTCATGTGTTGCCAGACATTTTCTAACAGATTCTGTGGATTTAATTGTGAGCTTTTTGGTAATGAAATTGGTAAGATGACCTGGTTTTGCTTTGTATCCACAGGGTTCCAAAATTTCCCTGAATATATTTTCTGAAATTTAAAGTTTTAATCTAGTTTAAAATTTATGTCAAACAATAAAATATGAAAACAGATATTTTAATGAAATATTTCACTTTAAATCCACAGGTAGAAATTGACTAACTGATTTATTTTGTATCTTTTGAGATTGTTTTTTAAAGACATGTTGAATCTGTATAGAACTAAAAGTCTGTTTCTTCTGTGCTTTTTAACATCTGTTGACAGTAGATCCAGAGTTTTGTTTTGTTTTTTTAAGCTGAAAAAATGTTAGCTAGGTTTGGGAAAAGAACAACACTTCCTTTTCATAACACCAAACTGAATTCCAGAAGTTTATATATATAAATATTGCAAGTTCTTGAATTTGGGTCCCTAATGGAATGTTGATCCTCTCTTCCTCCCTCTGTCCCTCTCTCCATATATTTGAGAAAATCCTCTCCAGGTAAATCAAATTGAAAAGTATCAGTTGAAAAATCCTGAAAATATGAGAATGAAACCAGGAAGTATTCTGAAGTAATAAATTCTTACTATATTGAGAAGTTGTTGACTTTGTAATGATGGTAAAGAGAGTAAGGAGGTAATCTTGACACTTTTCTTATATTCACACACAGAAAGTTTCCATGATCTAAAGCTATTGGAAATTTTTAAGTCATTTGAAATTTTTAAAATATAAATTTAGTTTTAGTAATCAACATAGTCTTATTCCATGGTTCTAATATCTTATTGGTAGAATAGAGCCTTTGTCATATAACATTCTAGGTAAGAGAGTTTAAATTATCAAATTATTGTAGGGAGATCAATTAGTACATATCATTAGAGTTGCTTTTTTTATTTGACCTATTAATATCCTTAGTGACATAACTGTCAAAGAGAGAGATTTAGAGTAAATTACTAGTTACTCAGTGTTTCCTGCCCCCAAAACTAGATTTCTTGGGAAAGGCACATTAATTTAGACTTTTGTGAGTTTTTTTTTAATCTGTAGCTTTGCTGTTTAAGTATTAAATGCATAAAAATGATGACTCTTGATGTAGTTAATTCTTCAGAGTTTTGAAGGAGCCGGATTGGCTGCTATCAGTTATGAGGGCCTGGTGGGAACAGACTTCTAGTTCTGCCATAAAGGTTTGTGTTTCACAAATTCTAAATCAATTTAAAATTTAAAATTTAAAGGCTTGGCATGTAGGTGTTTATGTTCATTCTTTATTATTTAATTATTAAAAATGTGTTTCTCAGATTCACCAAACTAGATATTTTTCCTGTACATATTACTGAATGAGTAAACATGGTGCTGCTAATCCACAATCCAGAATATTGGGTAAAAGAGTGTCTCTCAAATCTTTTCCTGCCTCTACACTATTTCCACTTTTAAATACTCCCAGCAATAACATCTTTCTATCTGGTAAGTCCAAGGGTTGAGGGTGGGAAAAGGAAGACTTCTCCTATACAACTCTTCCCCTTTCCGTGGGATCAGGTGTCAAAATCGGGGAGGTGTAGTTGAGAATCAGACAGTCTGAAATTTGTACTCATCCCCATTTTTTAAAGACCGCTGTTTTTGTCCTACTGGTAAGGTAATTAAGAGTTTGAAGTTCAATATGTGAATGAATAAAAGTTTTAGAAATGCAGAGTTTCTGAACAGTAATATTGTAGGTTCTCAGTAGTTAAGAGAGAAGCTGTTTTCCTAATACAAAAAGAGTTATCCAAATGAATTGTTGTTATTTTTTGGCAAAATAAGGAGTTGAACAAGAAGAAATATAAATTGTGAAAGGATGCTTTTTGGGGGGTGTGTGTGTGTGAGAGAGTGATTCTTCTAGTATATGTTATAAAGAACTAAAATGTAAGTATTTAGGAGAAATAAAATTATAGCAGAATTCGTGGGTTTTGAAAAGAGACCTGGCAGGTATTTTTCTTAAATAATAGCTTTATTGAGATATAATGCACATACCAATTAAATGTATTTTATAATTTTCTAATGTTTTTAAATTTTTTATTTACTTTTTAGACAGAAGATAAGGAAGGGTGAAAGAGAGGGAGAAAAACATCGATGTGCGAGAGAAACATAGATTGGTTGCCTCTCGCATGCCCTTAACCAGGGACCTAGCCTGCAACCCAGGCATGTGCCTTGGCTGGGAATTGAACCAGTGACTTTTCAGTTCGCAAGCCAGTGCTCAATCCACTGAGCCACACCAGCCAGGACCTTAATGGTTTAATTTAAATTAATAACTTTACATGAAATGATCCATACAATAAATTTTTCTGTTAGAAGAGGCATTAAATAGTGCTTTAAATTCTGTGACAGAGTCCCGGCCAGGCCCGCCGTCAGGGTGGCTGCAATGAGGAGAAATCCCAGGAATCATACTGACATGAAGATTCTTACTGCACTTGTATTTTTTTTATTAAAATTTGCATGGTTTCTAATAAAGGATTAAAACCTAAAAAAAAAATTCCGTGACAGAGTAATTAATAAATTTCAAATACCTAGTAGGTATTTTCTGTACTGAAAAAACTTAGTACTATTTACACAGTAGGAGAACACAATAAAAACTAAATTAATGTTGTATAATTTAAAAAGTTATGCTTTATTTCATTGTAGACATCTTAATCACCTAAATTAAAATTTTAGGAATTTCTAAACCATCCATACATTAAAACTACAAAAATTGAGTTGAAGAAAATATAAGTTGTCACTTTGAGTTCCATGTGATAGGAGTTGTACCAGGTAATTTGCATGTCATCATATCTCAGTCCTTCCAAACACAGTATAGTATACCTCTTTTCTTTTATTGGGGTCTAAGTTCTTTTCTCATTGCCATTGTTATTTAGGGAATTTAGTGTTGTGTGCTTTCACTTCAATTTAGGAAACAGAAGCTCCTAGAAGACACTGTGTAGGATATTGAGTTGAAAAAGCCATGCCCCTTCTCCTCAGTAAGTTTCAGGATCTACAAATGGGAGTATGATTTCTAGAGGAATTTTACTTTTTCACAGCCATAGAATTATATAGCTCATTGAATTTAAGCTATAACTTAAAAATTCTACTCTTAATTCTTTTTATTGAAATTACAAAGTAAATCTAAATATACACATTTATACATATAGAAATTATATATGTATGCATGTATGTATAAATTTATGCTAATATCTGCCTTATTAGAGTGAAAAGCATAAGCAATGTGGGACCATAACAGTTAATTCAGAAATAACTACCAATTCAAGAGGCTATCCATATTATCAACTTTAATTTACAAAAAGTACACATGGCCTGTTACTGATTTATTCCTTAAATTTTCCCTTTTTATTCTGTTTTTAGCAATAACGTTATGAATATTGACTTACTCAGTTTCTGATAGAATAAGCAAGTTTTTATATTGCTTGAGCCTATAGAATAGCATTTTTAAACTGTTCACAGATTCTTAACCATTCAGAGGCCAAACAAATACATAAAATTAACACAATTTCTGTTTTTATGTGTTTTGTACAATTTTGCATTATTAATGCACAGAAATGGACTTTTATACCATTAATACGATTGATAGTATCATCAGAAAAAAGTATTGCCATATG